TATCATCTAAGCAGCCAGAAGCCCCCGGAACCGCAGCAGCAGAAACTGTGCCCACGGCTCTCCACTCCACGGCCTCCCCGTCTGATAGTCACAGTAGGGAGACAGGCAGAGGCCTCTTCATGTTACCAGGCAAACCTCGGCTAGCGCAGCTGCACTGCAGTCTTTCTGACAGGGACAGAAAACGCTCATTTTACAACAAAACGGAGGGAGGCCGGAGCAGCCTGGGGGCCTGTTTTCTAGAGTCCTTCATGCGTGGCCACTGCCTGTCTTTAGCCTGGAGGCAGAGAGATGAGTAAAATGACTTTTAAAAACCATGACTCAGACTTTAATTACTTCGTTTAAATTTCTAACAACCCAAGGATGTGGCCAAGTTAATTAGCAGGAACGGAGACCCCCCTGGGCACCAAGGTCACCAAGCCCATCCTGACCATTGACCGTATCCTGACCTATTTGGGGAAAGAAAAGAATTTAGCTTCTTGCAGAGAAAAACGGTTTTAGCCATTTCTATGAAGAAAAGAAAGGGCACCCATAAAATGGAATGTAAAATTCAGGGCTGGGGGTGGGGAGCGGGAAAAGCTGGAGGCGGCGCAGGGCCAGAGACCAGAGCCCCACACTATCAGGCTCTAATATTAGCCGAGGGCACTGTTTACACGTGTTGCTAAGGAAAACCAGGAGCTTTGGAAAAAGAGCCCAATCAGGACACTGTGTGACAGCTGCCGCGTGGCCCTGGCAACCCTGCAGAGCTCCGTGCCAACTGCCTGCCACTTGCATCCCTCCCCCTGCCTGCCCCTTCACAAACCGATGGCCCCGCTGGTCTCTGGAGCCCCCAGGAGCCCCTGGGCTGGGCTAGGCTGGATGGCAGGGTTCGCCTGCCTGGGGGTGGGGACTGCACGCTGGGCTGCAGATTCAGACCATGGGCCGCGCACCTTTACTCTTAAATCCAAAGGAGAAATGGCTGGTGAGCTCAGTGAAGAAAAAGAGGGGGCATGGAGGATAGTCCCCAAGGTGCCTGACTCAAGGTGTGACACTGGGCCAGTCAGTCATCCCCGCTCGTAGGGCCTCCGTGCTCCTACCTGCAACCCAGGGAAGCTTAACTTCTATTCGGGTCCATCAAGCAAACAGAAAATTTACATACTTGAGCTTTTCAGGAGGAAAAAAAAAAAAAAAAAGGAACTTTGTAAACCCAAGACCATGCCCTCTTAAGAGTAAGAACTGTTTCCGGAGCCCCACCCTGAGCTCACGTGGCAAAGTCATAAATCACCCAGAAGCCTGCAAACCTCGAATCTCAACTGTTGTTTCCTCCTCAGCGATGGTGGCATCTTCACAGACGTACAGCACAAGACTGTGGCCCCGGAGTTCATTTTTTTTTAGTTTTCCTGTCCTCCCCCCATGATAATGGTAATACTTTATTATGCTGGAACTTTGGAAAATGCAGAAAAAAAAATATCAACCATAACCCCCACCCTGGAAAAATTTCATGTTGACATTCTCATGTCATCAGCTGGTATCACAACGGATGCTTTTGTTTCTAGCTCTGACCGTTTCACAGCACATCTGTGGCCAAGAGGAAGAACTGTCACCACAGGGTGGCCGGCTCAGGCTGGTCACTGGCCAGCAGGTAAGTGTGCACCCACCTAGCGCCTCTTAGAACAAAACACTCGAAAAAGGGCGGCCGCCCCTTCCAGCCATGCTTGGAGCCTGCTTTGGAGGCGACTGGTGCTGGTGGTGGTGGTGTCCTACTGGGCCGTTTTGAAGCCCCAAATGGACCTGTGAGCGTGGGCTCAGGCCTCCATCCGGGCTCCCAGCAGGCATCAGCACGCAGCCACAGGGGCAGATTAGGGAAAAAGCTGGAGCTCCCAGGGAAGAATTAGCACCCAGCATGCTCTTTCAGAGGGAAATTCAGCTGTTTTCAAAACATGTGATTTTTTTCTTTCAGTTTGTTTGTCTAGAGGGAGGAACTAAATGGCTTCAATTCTGTAATGGCTTAAATGACACGTTTTATTTGATGGAGTCATTCCCCAGCTGAAACCTCCGCGGGATTCCACAGCCGGGAGGTCAGGGCCCCTCGCTGCCGGCTCCTGCCTTGATCTCTAGCTGCACGATTTCTAAGCACGCCCAGTGCAATACCAGACTTGGGTGGAAAAAAATTTTTGTGTCCACGGACACAGAAATTTGGAAAATGCTGCAAATTCTAACCATCCAAACACCCCCCCTTTCCAGCCCCAAGAGGCGCGGTCCTGGGCGGCTTCTGAGCGACGTGTTAGCGTCGTTTAACCCACCCTGTCCAGTTCCTTTGGCACAGCATGCTTTCCCCTCATCACACCTGCTCCACACTAGACAGGGCCCTGCCTCTTCCAGCTCAGGCCCCCGGAGCTCGGAGCTCGGCCCTGGAATTCCTCACGCTCCCTGAAGTACCCGCCGCCTATGCCGCCAGGCAGCTCACTGCTCGCCGCCTTTCCAGGGCAGCTCCAGTCACCTTGTGTCCCACTGCTCAGCCTCGTTTGGATGGGGGTGGGGTGCTAGGTAAGGTCTGGTGACGAAATGTTCTAAAGTGGAGCGTGGTGATGGCCGCACGTACCTGTGAATACACGGGAACTGCGCACTGGAGCACTTTGAGTGGGTGAATCAGATGGCACGAGTGGCGTCTTATACAGCTCTTCAGAACTACTCTTCCAGGGCCCACGGGGGTTCTTAGCATGCCGGCTGTAGGACCGCGAGACAACAGCCCCCATTCCTCCAGCCTCCACGACCACTACTGTGCCAGCTGTCCACACTCAGCCTCCCTCAGCTTTGCCACAGGACCGAGCGCCTTCCCCAAGGCTGTTGCCTGGAACGCTCATGCCGTCCGTCCACCCGTGTCCACAGGTCCCACAGATCTGAACTGGAGCACCCCGTCAGGAGCCTGTCCTGTGACCCCCAGGAGAGGGCCTCCTGTACACACGGTCACACCCCCTTCTCAGCGTTGCTTCTTGCCTAGCACACAGTCCCCTGGGCCAAGACCTTGCCTGCGTGCTCACCGCTGTATCGTCTGGGCTGATCACAGCACTGGGTGACGGCAGGTACTCGGTAAATACTTTGAAAAGAATGAACGCTAGTACGGATCAGGTGACTTGAGTCCAAGAGCTTTTTATCTAGGGTCCTACTTATTTCTCTGATGCCATCTCCTTATTTAGTCTATTATCTAGTGAATATTATTTGTCTAACAAATCAAGCGTCTCCCTATGTTATCGTGAGTTCTTGCCTTGACACACCACCTTCACATTATAACACATCAACATCTTGATTTAATCCTTGTAGCCTTCCACCTGCAGCTCCTCGAGGAGACATGCCCTAGTTGTAACATGCGGTACATCACAGGTACTCAGTAAATATTTGTGGACAGAATAAATCATCTGTAAGAAACTCAAAGTCTGTAGCAGCTGCTATCTTACTGACTACAGGTTATAAAATTCCCAGGAGACAGTAGCTGTGTTTAGGTTTCTCTAAACAATGGTTCATGCAGACAATATTTACAATGCAGTCCGACAAAGGGCCCAATTTCCCCATTCTTTCAGAGACGACGATTCGAATGATGGATTTCACCCATTTTACTTGTCTCAGCTCAGAAAGATTTTTCAAGAGAAGTTTTTCTAGCCAATGAAAGGCTGCTCTGCTTATAGCTGCCAGATGAAATCTAAGAGCCATCTGAGCATAAGCATCACATACCTAAGTATGTAATTTATTGACACTCCCTGGCTGGAAGCCAGTAGAGGGATGACAGCTGTGGGCTCTGTGACCTGTTAGCCCAGGAGTGGGATTTCTTCAATTTTATGTAAATAAATGACACAAAGGAAGGGAAGGATGGAAGGATGGAAGGACAGAAAAATGGAAGGATGGAATTAAGGAAGGAAGGGGAAAAACACTATTTTTCACTCCACTTAACATCTCCCTCCCATCTCCACTTATGATAAATGTTTTAGAGCAAACATCTGATGGTAAGATTCTCTGACTTATTACACACATATACACAATCACAAAATAAAATCTTCCTCTAGATCAGCGGTTCTCAACCTGTGGGTCGCGACCCCTTTGGGGGTCGAATGACCCTTTCACAGGGGTCTTCACAGGGGTCGCCTAAGACCATCGGAAAACAAAAAGATATTTACATTACGACTCATAACAGGAGCAAATTACAGTTATAGAGTAGCAAGGAAAATAATTTTATGGTTGGGGGTCACCACAACATGAGGAACTGTATTAAAGGGTCGCTGCATTAGGAAGGTTGAGAACCGCTGCTCTAGATGTTCAGAATAAGATGAAGTCAAACTGAGAGCTAAATTTAGGTAAGATTTCGCCTCTCTTTCTAGTCTGAAAGAGGGGACAGCCGTCCTCAGCCCTAGATGCTCCCAAAGGGACTGCTCCACTTCTCACACTTCGTCAACAGGGAGACATGGCCCGTTCTCCTTGGTCACACCGTCAGAGTTCCTCTCAGCTTCGACCTTAAGTCTCGTCTGCGTCAACTCGCGACTGTTCTGACTCGCTCTCTAAATTGAGAGACTGCAGAAGAGCCAGTCACTATGCCGCTACCAGATCACCACATGTTTTCCATTCCTTTTCTGGTATTCGTCTCAAATTCCTTAAAACTTTATATCCTTGCTCTATTTCTCTGAGCCTTTTACCATGTCACTGCTTCTCTTTGCTGCCAGAGAAGTCATCATGGGCCGCCGGGAACAAAACAGAAAGCTCATCACCAAACGGTGAATCCACACCTGACATGGCTTCTCACTAGACATACAGAAAACCTATGCCCGTCTCCACGGCAGAGCAGGGACCTTTGTTAAATAATCAGAGACAAATAAGAGCTCCACCCAAAGTCTCCCAGAGGCAAAATACAAAACACAATCTGTAATATCAAGGTCTGATCTCATCAACGCATTCGAGATTGAGGAAAAGCTTCACAGCATTTCTTCATCTCCCACCTCCAAGGAGACCCCCCCAGAGGAGACTCCCCCAAGACGCACCTCCGTCTCTCCCTGCCTTCCACGGACGAGTCCGGCCCGGGACTGGAGAGCAGAGTGGAGGTTGTGACCCCACTGGCAGTGCTGGGCGGGGGGCGGTTGGTGATCACACACAGAGGCGTGCTGGTACAGACGCTGTCTGCGGTTCTCTCCGCTGTGGGGTCAGCCTGGGACTTGTGAGGAGTCCTGAAATCAAGAAGACACAGCAGAGAGAGGACGGTCAGGCACGTCACACAACAAAGCACCGCTCAGACCCAGAGGGCTCAAAACACGCTGACCTAGAGAACCTTCAGGTTTTGTTGGTTGGTTTCTTTAATTCTGAGCTCTTCAATCTCTGAACAGTACGACTGCACATTCAGTCAGATATCCTCTGCCCGAGGAGCTATGTTTTATGAAATTATTTTTTTCCTGAGATTAAAAACATTTTTTAAATGAGCTAATGGCACAAGGCAAAGAGGTGACATGCTGCTTTAATGGCGGCCGAGTACCATCTGGTTCCCACAGGCACACAGGGAGGTGCCCCTCACACGAAAATGACACTGATTCACGACACTCATCCCCACCTGCCCCCTAATGCTCTGCCGTGAGTCTGTGTGGTGGTCCCCAGCTTGGACAGGGGCCGTGCTGTGGACGATGTAGGTCCTTGCTGGACACCCTCCAGCCCCAGGGCCCTTCGTGCCCCCGGCCCAGCCCTTTGACCAGGCGCCCGGCTGTCTGTATTCACAACTGCACATGAGAAACTGAAACAAAACCTTAACTACTGACTTCCCAACAGCCAGCTGTGTAATTAAAGTCAGTCACATGCAAACAAGGTCTTTGTGTCCACAGAGTTGAGAGCCACCATTGGCTCTCCACCCAGAAAGCTATCGTTTGTGATGTCACAGCTTGTTGCTGGGTAACAGAGACCCAAAATTGACACAGAAACGGGAAGAGCAATGCACACAATGAATGCAAAAACCTTGTTTTTTCACCTACTCACAATGACCACAAATGCTAATGAGAAGTGAGAAGCTCACTTTCAAATTATCACATTAGAATAAACTTGAAACAAATAATCGGATCACGAAAACCTAACTATGGTACCTAGATGCAAATATAAAAATAGAACAGCTCTGAAGTGCCATCCAAGGAACACAAGCTACTTCTCCAGCAGTGATCAACGACCTGAATAAAAGGAAATTTATTTTCACTTTTTAATTAAAAAAAAAAAAGGCAAACGATTCCTCAGACTTACAAGGTGTCTATAGGAAGTACTAATAAAATTAGCAGACACAAAGCTATAAAAAATTACACTTATCAAAAGCTTACCTGAAATTCTTTTCAGGTTAATAACATGTTTTGGTCTCTCTGCAATTTCTTAGGCTATAGAAATGCCATTGTTTTATTTTATTAAATTACAGATAAGGCTCCTGCTATCATTTTGAAATGTGCATAATTTTACAAAGAGGGGATTAGGAGCAGAGTCACTCCAGAGCAAGGATCAGAGGTGTGGGAGCCACTTGGGGCTAAGTTTCAGCCGACTTAACTTCTCTGACTGTAATTGTGTAAAGTGGGGAGAATGAGGACTTAAAAGGCAGGAGTCTTGTGATGATTAAATACAATAATGTGTGTGGAACACTTCGTATAGTGCCCAGGATAAAACATAAACTCAGTGGAGACCATCTAGTGAAAGAGACACCGGCTCTGAGATGCACAAATTGGGGTTCACGTCCACTTCAGCCCCGTACTCACTGTGGGACCCAGAACAGAGGACTTGGTCTACGCTTTTCGGCTCCATTTCCTTATCTATAAAACGAGGATGACATTTCATGCACTGGGGGGCTCTTTATAAGACTATTATAACGTGTGCCCGAGGCAGCTAGCTGCCTAACCCATATTCACGTCCCGTTTCTTCCTTACTAACACAGCCAATATAGTATCGAGGGCAGCGATGTCCCTGGTTATAAACCTGCAGCTTCCGAAGTCTCCTGCTGCTCAGGGTAGCCAATAAGACACGCAGAAAATTAGTGTTTTGGGGGAAACGCTCAGCTCAGAGGCATCCCCTCTCTGCACGCGTGCCCCTTTCCTCCTCTTCCTGCCTGGAATGCAGCCATGATGGCTCCAGCTCCAGCAGCTGCTATGGACCATGAGGCAGCCAATGGAAACAGAAGCCCGATCAAGGGACCATCAAGCGGAACGACAGAAGGAACCTGGATCCTTTAATGACTTTGGAGCTGTGCGCCAGCCCTGCCTATTTCTGGACTATCCTAAGTGAGAGAAGAAAAAACCTTTATCATATTTAAGCCACTATTATCTGGATTTACCGTTATGTGCGAGTAAATCAAATCCCGATGTAAGTTTTGTCCAGGACCCACCCCAGCGACTGGCACGTGATAGGGTTCAACAGATGGCAGCGCTCTTATTCCTCATCCCAGGTGGCAACCGTTCATCAAGGAACCTCTAAGCGTTTTGTTTTCTTCAACTGAGGGGCTGACAATTGCCGTGCCTATGCAAATGCATTACTGTGAGGACCTACTATCATTATACAGCATCACAATAACCCATCCACGCCTACCCCTTGGGCCAAATGGATGACCAGCACTTGTTTTAGGGGAAGAAGCCGAGTACCTGACAAGTGCCACGCAAGCAGCACCCTCAGTGCGTGCCTGTCGACCCAGCGTCAGCAGCGATTTTCATTTTCTTTAAGTTCCTTTGTCAGTTGCAGAAACAAGACCCCACAAAGGAGTCCCTCTTCCGTACCCAGAAGTGAAGGCGTGTGACCGCATAAGAAGGCCTGTTGTGCTTCCTCAGTGACAGTGCCCCTGGCTGCCCCTTACACGGCCTAGGGACCCAGAGGCTGGCCCAGGAACAGCGTGGAGGCCACGCGCCTCTCCCTCCCCAAGCTGTTTCCATTGGCTGGGGATCCTCAGAAGGAGGCGGGAGTCTTCGGGAAAGAAACCCGGCATAATTCTGATTTGGTTTGTATGCCATCTTTCAAACAGACGAAATAAGAGAGTCCCACTCGTGATGTTGGAAAATCAAGAGTGAAGCACGGGGTATTTCAGTGTGTGATTTACCCCAGCGGTGTGACGCTTACACTGTCAGCACAGCTGGCCAGGTCACAGAGACAGAGCAGTCAGAGTGAGCAATGCTAAGAGCGAGAGCCAGCACACCCTGTGGCTGCTCGACGGCCAGTGCGAGACCAGCCAGGGTGCCCGCGTCACACCGGGGTGTGCTCACAGGGACACTTGCTCGCCGTGCCTGACAGTTTCTTTGGGTCAAGTGTCATATATGTGTCCAGAGGTGTCCGCCGGGATGACTGTCACTCAAATGGCTCCAAGAAGCCTTACCTGCCATGCTGCATAGATGTGGGCCATCCGCACTGACCGGTGCAGGACAAGAAGAGGCAGGTGGCCACTTGCTGCCCCGACAGGTGGATGAACCAATGGTAATGGGTGAGGTGGCAGGAGATGCATTGCGATTGGCTGAAATGTAGGGGCGGGTGGGGCCACTACTTCTACCAAAGGAAGCACTGAAAAACAGCACACAGCAGGTTCTTCAGGACAGCTGCTCGCCCAGCGTCCCCAGCACCGCCTCCCACCCTGTGCACTGAGCAGGGATGCAGGGCGCGAGGGCCTGACCCCTGGGATGTGGAGTGACCAGCTCCAGCTAGCGCTGCGTCATCGCAGCCAGAAGGCATCTGTCAATCATCCAGAAGAGTGAAGAAACACGAGGACAGACCAGTGAGCAGGAGAGCGAGCAGAAGAGGAGAATGCGGGAAAGGAGTGAGGATCAGAAAGGAGACGACAGGACACAGGATCATTTTATCACAAAAACCCCCCGAACAAGCCCCGAGGCTAAAGGCCGGGCACCCTAGCTGTCCACCTGACAGAGAGGTGACTGTGCAAAGGTGAGACCAGGGTTTGGAGGGGTGTGGAGCGGAGGTCTGCGTGGAACAGTGGGGAAAAGAATCTCCGTGGGAAAGAGCCTTTGGGGTTAAAGTTTTAAGTCCAGAAAGCTATACTGTGTGGGCAACAGATGACAGGGAAGAACCATCTCAACTGCGACAAACAATTATTTGGGTTAGAATTTTTAAAAACTTCTTTTTTTTTTTTTTTTTTTTTTTTTTCTGAGCCATCCTGCTACCTGTTGGCAGCTCAGCGGCTGCTCAGCTCGGGCTGGACTCGAACCGCTGTTGCTCANGGCTGCTCAGCTCGGGCTGGACTCGAACCGCTGTTGCTCAGAGCTCAAACTCTTGAGCGAGCTCTTAACCAACTGAGCCACTCAGCCGGCCCCTTTAAAAACTTCTTGACTATAATAGTAATCGGACACTTGGGGTGACCAAAAACGCTATGAAGCCCTCTTTGGAAAAGATGCATTTCACTGGGTCACAAAAAAGGCATTTCTGCCTGAAGGTAAGAGATGGACTAGAACATGGGACGTGCACTGAGGTTTGGCACAGCCCAGGGACGACAAATGTCTGCTCACACTTTCTTTTTATATAGCGGTGCCACATGGTTCTGTCCTTTTGAAAGAAATCATAAAATAAGACTTTATAAAACCAAAAAGGCCTTAGGGCTGTAGGCGATCCACGTGTGACGCCAGGCGTCGGCCTCATCTCAGAAGCGCTTACATGATTGAGCCTGCGACCCCCCCAGGGAGAGGGGGCCCTTCTGCTCTGGTCGCCAGGACCCTGCCCAACGGCATCTATCAAACCCCGTGACACGGCCTCAAGCCACGTGCTGGTGACCTGTACTGTGAGCGTCAACAACCCACCACAAAACAACGGAATGCCTGTGAATCCTGTGGTGCTCCCTGCACTAGGTCCACAGCACTGTTTTCTTTGAGGAGTCGCGTCTTGGTCTCGGGTCCAAACACAAGGAGGACGGTGTATCTAGTTGGACTAATGCCTTGGCCATCAAGAGAAGCAGGTGCGGCCTCCGTGAGACCCAAGCTGCACCTGTTTACTTCTGGGGGGCCCTTCCTGCAGGACTGAAGCCCAAGGCAACAGCGGCTGTCTGCTCTGCAGCTCACTAGCTCCCACATCCCACCTTAACCAGCTGACAAGGCTGCTCGGCAAGTGGAACGAAGATCTGAACCCCCACATATCGTCTGTGGCCAAAGCCTGTCTGGCAGCCAGGGAAGCACCTAGAAAACCTGCTGACGAGGGCTGTGGTGCGAAGGGGCGGCTGGAGGGGCAAGTAAGTGGTGTCAAGAAAGAACTCAGAGCAAGGACTGAGAGTCAGATTCTCCCATGTCAGCGGCAAAGCTGCAATGAACACTAATTAAGTGTATCTTGTAACTTAGTGGCTCTGGCAGAGGCGCTCTGCGGCTGGTACCCAGCAAAGAAAGTAACTGCAGAAAAGGGGACAGCTGAGCGGAGAGGGGGAGAATCATGCACCTTCTCTGCACCGAACGTGCAACTTGCAATACTGATGGGTCCTTCAAGTCATAAAAAAACCACAACCCAAGTCCCTAAATTAACAGGCTTCACAGGAAGCTTCTTCAGTGCAGGACAAGACCGCCTCCATCTCCCCCCAAAACCATCCTGCGGGCCCGCCCCTCCTCTCCCCAAACCACAGCCTGAGATGGCAATGGCCCTCGTTGTAGCAACAGGACAGCTAGCTACCAGCCGAGGTGGCTTAAGTCCAGCCCTGGTCGGTCCGGGAGGCACTCCTGGTGGGGACTGAGAGGAACAAGTGCAAGTTCAGTCTGTCTGTGCTGAGGACTTGCAATCAGCTTCCTCTAACTGAGATGAGAAGATTAATGAATTCTGATTTAAATTTAGTCAAGATGTTACTCCCCAAAAACCTACAAGGAATTCATTTTTGGATTCACTTTTGTGGGGCCAGTTGGCTACAGAGGTGTGTGCTTATCACCCAAATCCCATGGCCAGATGGGGACCGCCTCCCGCCTAGAACCTGGTACCTCTTCAGGTAGGTGGACACGTAGGTGGAAGGAGCAGCCGTCTGTGGCGTCTCACTGCCCTTGGCTTCGTCCCCCCACAGCTGCCGCGTGTAGGAACCACTCCTCACCAGGTTAACAGCCGATCCCCTGAGAGGCAGGAGAGAAAGCCACACCACACACTGACCCCAGCTTCTGCCCATGACACGCACACACTGCGAGACGAGAGCCAGGCGGGCAGACCATAATCCCGCTAAAGAAACACATTTGTCAGCGGTTCTCTTATATACCTGCCTTCTGTGTAGGCAGAGGATGAGTTAAATATTACTACCTGCTTTCTGTGATCAACGTCAAAGCCAACCAATTTCAATAGGTACCAAGTCCTTATGTCAAAGGGCTCTAACCTTTCTGTAATGACAAGTCACTTGTATTCCTCCTTTAAAGAGCTTTGCAAGTCAGTCCCCGGCATAGGATGCTCGTAGTGAGCAGAGAAAGGGATGGGGGTGTGTGTGTGTGGGGGGGGGACTGTGGGGACAATGAGTAAGTCTGTCACAGGGAAAGAGGAAAAAGAGGACTTGCTGGAGGCCCCTTTCACATCAGAAACAAAGGCATCTGGGGCAGGGCTGTGCTAGGATCTCTGACCCACAGGTGTCCCCAGGGTCTTTGCTACAAGAGTGACAGGGTGCCAGTTTCACAGGGGTCAGCAGAGCAGGCCTCAAATTCAGTGTGCACTGAATTGTCCAAGGAATTTGCTAGAATGCAGATTCTAGTTCAGCAGGTCTGGGGTGGGGCCCGAGATTCTGTGTTTCTGCCATGCGCAGGTGACGCCCAGGGGACACACCTGAGAGACAGGCTCTAGGTCAGGTTCACCCTGAGACACAGGGATGCCTCAAAATCCCACATTCATCTGATCTGATGTGGACTTGACATGTTAACTGCTACCAATCGGAAGTGGACCGATTCGGTTACATGACAACGTGGACAGCAATCACCCTGGGGCAGCCTGTGCTGGGACCTGGCCTGTACAGGGCCTGCTGGTGGGCGGCAGCGAGCCCACCCCCGACCCCCGAAGGGTCTTGGCGCAGTGAGGACCTCAGGACAGGAGTTGGCAGAGTGGGGGCTGGGGGAGGGGTGCTGAGACGGAGCAGCGAGTCACAGCGTGCGGGGACACCGCCAGTGGCACAGCGTGTGGGGACACCGCCAGGGGTGCTGGCCTCTGTGATGGTACCTGTTCTCCTTCTCCTCAGTGTCACTCGTGCCGCTGAGCCTCCGGGACGTTAGTGAAGTAAAATAGCTTTTGTTTTCTCTGTCCTGTAAAACCGAGACAAGGAAAACACAGGCAAGGTATAACACAGACGCGGGAACACGATGTCTGTGTAAAAAGCCAGAAGTTAATATCCCCAGATAATCTGATTTCCCGATTCAATCCCAATTCCAGTTTGAGGAGCATTACAAAAGGTTAGCTTTCCGAGGCTGATTCCTAATGGTCCTCCATTAAAACCAGCACGTAGGGAATCGTTCTCATGGGAAAAACAGGATAAGCTAAAGAGGAAAAGAGCGGCACAGACCGGCTGCGCGGCTGCAGACAGAAAGGCCCCGTCTCCTCCCCATCTCCTGCCCAGCCTCCTCCTCCTGAAATGCAGCTTCACGCAGCACAGATGGGCTGCAGGGTTAGCCCGCCCGCCCGTGCTCTGCAGGAACGCAGCACCGAGCGGGGGCTACACAAGGGATACCATCAGGGAGGCCCTGGAGGATCCGGGACCGAGCGTGCGGGGATGGGCACGTGCTCGTCTTGGCTTGTGTGCAGACGGGCTGCTTGTGGGGTCAGCCTGACCACACGCCCTACTGGGAAACTGAGGCCGGAGCGCCCTCCCGAGCGCTCATCTGCCGGAGCATCAAGGAAGCTCAGCTGAGGAACTCGCTCCCAAACACCCAAAGGATAAACTGCTGTGTTGCTTCAGAGGGACTTTTTGGGCCACAGCCATGTCGTCAGGCTTCTGACTGATTGATAAGGACGGACGAACATAAACTGTGACAAAAGGGCAGGGCTTTCCTTTCTGCGAAGTAGCAGCAAGCAGGGCGCTCGCTGGTTGAGCGATCAGGTGCCCGCCTCCCTCGGACTTTACGGCCCCAGAGTCAGCCCAGGGCCCACGGAGTACTTTCACGTCATTGGGGTTCTCAGGGAGGCGCCCCCGCGGCCCACAGCACCTTCTCTCTGCTGTCCCCCAGAGCCGAGACCCGGGGGCTGGATGACGAGCGGGGCAGGGCGGCGCCCCGGCCCCGGGGAGCCGCCTCGGTCAGCACGCTGTGGCTGCCAGTCTTCTTCAGGCCCAGTCTCCACGAAGCAGGGGACTCGTCTGCGGGCTCCCCCGGCTTGTTACTGAGGCTGGAGAGCTATCGGGGAGGAGCGGGTCGGAAAAGAGAGAGAGAGAGAGCCTGACGACCGTGTTCAGCCTGTGGCCTTTCCACACTCAGCTCCAGGGGGGCCACATGCGGAGTGAGGAGAGCACAGGCACGGCCTGCTCTCGGTCCCCCGGCAGACGCCAGGCACCCCAACGCTCCCTTTGTCCCTGAGCTGGAAGGCGACCCGGCGGCTGGCCCTGAGGATTAACGCCGTTTGTTGTCCGTGTGTGATGGGCCCTGACCTTGGAGTGCCAAGGTCCGAGTTCCAGTCACACGCCTTCCCTAAACGCACCGTGTACCTGAGCACAGGACACGTCACCTCCCTGGTCCTTAACCCGCTGCTCTGAGAAGTGGTGACATGAGCTTAGCTCCTCCTCGGACTCTGTGACCACCGGACAACACGAGATGCCCCGGACGTGCACCGTCAGTAATGACTGAGACACCAAGGGCCACGCCGCTCAAGGTCTGCTCTCATCTCAAGGAAACAGCTGATTTGAGCTACGGCGGCAGGTCCAAGCATTTCGGGTTTCACCAGCAGCACCGTCAAAAAGAAAAACACGGCAGAAGCCACAGAGCTGCCATCCTCTTGATGGTCAGAAACTGGTTACTATTTCCATCACCATCGTTTCATTTTAAGAAGAAAGAAATTTAACTTCAGAAAAGAAAGCTTTATGGAGCTTACACTGTCTTCATCTCAGTTTGCCACAGACCAAAGAAAACGTCCCGATCTGGTGTCGGCCCAAAGGCCAGTTCGGGTATAACTAGTCTTTAGAACATCAGCCGACTGTGTCTCCCTGGGTCTGGGGACCTTCACTGCCAGGTACAGTGACAATGCAGGGGACACTCTAAGTCCCTTGTCTGCTCACTTGGATTTTCTCTTTTCATCTGACATTTGAATGTACATTTTTATGTGCTGCTTCTAGCGTTAGCGGCCCAAGCACGTCAGCACTCAACAAGCCACCTGCTTCTGAGGGACAGTGCCTGTCCCAGTACCATTTCCGCCAAGTGGAACAAGCATATGTGTGTGTTTGCATTTTTTCAGTTTAGTGTTTTTCTTTAGAAAAGCAGGTCTGGCCACACCCAGAGCAGTGGGAGGGCTGAGGCAGCGTGGCTACGAGGGAGGACTTCATTCCCTGGGGATCGTCTCCCGGTCAGAGATGCTCCCAGCCTGTCCCCTTATTCCCACAATGACACCAGCCCCACCTTTTCAATTCATGAGGTACTAAGACCACTGAGTTAATACCCATCAAACCATACAGCTTTTGAACAGCTTCATCGCAAAGAGTTCAGGCCCATTCTTAACCTCAAAACTGACTTCCCTTTGGAGGGCAGGGCCACTGGCTGTCCCCTGACTAGGCACTGGCAGCTCTGAGAGGCCTGGGCCACGCTGGCATGGCAACGTGTCCTTTCTACCTCTGCTCTGTGGGCACAGCTATGACGCCTTGACTGGCGAAAGTAAAATTTTAAACAAGAAGTGAAAAAAGCATAGTCACCAAAACAATTAATGCTGGATGCTGATGTATTCCTGGCCCAATGTGAGCTTTGGGTAAATACTTACCTAACTTCAGATATGAAGAACACAGGCAACTGTCAAGTTTCTTTGGTCCCAGACGATTCTATCTTAAGTTATCTAAACACATTGTAGCCAAAATCGTATGGTGATGATTTTATAGTTTTTGTGGGCAATGTTCCAGACAGTGTCTGGGTTCCCAACTCCCAAATCCACGCGTTGAAGCCCTAACTCCTGACGTGACTATATTTGGAGATAAGGCAGCGCCTGCGAACCAGGGGGAGTCCTCACCAGGAACTGAATCTGCTGGCACCTTGATTTTGGACTTCCTGCCTCCAGAACTGAGAAATAAATGTCTGTTGTTTACAGGCTACCGCCTGAACAGACTAAGGCAGGCGAAAATGTATCTTTGTTTTGCAAGAATGTATCCTTAAGGCTTTTCTAATTGGATGTTACTACAGCAGGGGGAAACATAATATCCAAAACACTCACTCTCGTGGATGGGAAGGTGTTCTGCGCCGGCGCTGCTATCTGCTCTGTGACACACCTCTTGCTTTCGGAGCTGGAATGGTTGACAATGGCTTCTGGCTTTTTATCTGTTATTAAGACAAGGGAAGCGACAAACGTGCGGATGAAAATCTTATCTCCGTGTGCATCTGCCTCTCTGCTAGACAGGCCTACCCATTGTCCAAACAGGTTATTAGGGCCATGCAATGCCTGACTTAGACAAGTCTCTAGACGCTGCTGCCATGAGAAAAGAAACTCCGTGGTATTCCTGTCTGGTGGGCTCCAACACCCATTCCCATATACGAGTGGATACAGAAAACTGAAAGTCTCCTCCACATTCTACACCTAACAAAACTTCTTCCTCACTACACGCTAATAAGCTCCTCTGACCACCGCGAGTCCCGACCCGTGACTGCCCCGGAAAGGCCAGCTGGCCGGGGGATGTGAAAGTTCTGGAAGACCGGGCTCTGGGGTTCAGGACTTACCCTCAGGCAGAGGTGGAGTGGGAAAGGGGGTCACAGAAGGTTTCGGAACAGGGCTGTCGTGTGAGACAAGGTGCTGGGGCGTTTGGATCCCACAGCACGTGGAGGTGGGCGGCAGGGAACAGGTGACCCGGGCACGGGTGCCCGTCAGGAGGCCGGTACAGCAGCCCTCTCACTCTGAGCCCTTGGTAGCCAATGAAGAGGTCTAGCACAGAGCAAGCCCAGATCCCAGTGCTAGACAATACATGAAGCCTAAGATCTGGAAATACTCGACACGTAACAAATATATAGAAAAGACGGACATTTGTACCTGCCGACAGGCACTACACTAGCATTTCCAGAGCAAGCAGTGCCTGCTTCATAGAAATTCAAGTCTCCGTGAAGAAGAAAAGGTCATCCTTTTGCTACCAACTTAGCTGCTGCCTGTCCTCGCCATAGAACCACTGGTCTCTGACTTCCTTTGGTGACAGTCAATGAGCCTCAGAGACAGAGACATGAAGAAAGACAGGATTCTCCCACGACTGAGAGCAACCGTGTCAGCAAAGCCAGGACTACCAGGAGCTGGGCCCAGGTAATATAGGCTGAGCCGGACCTGCTCCCCTGTGGCGCCCGCAGGGCCAAGTTCAGAGGAGCACAGACCCACTGTGAATGTGACAGCACCCTTCCCTCACGGCTCCCCCAGCTGGACAGAGCAGCACCTGACGGGTGTGCCTCTGCGAGGGCTCCAGACCTCTGCCTGTCGGCACAGTGCGTTTGGGGAACCAGCCGCTACACCCCAGCAACCCCGGGTCACAGCAGGCGGTCCCTTGTCATGTGGCTACAGGAGACCTGGCAAAGGGATTCCATCACGCTCCCCGCTTTCGGCCAAGGGCCCCCCCGGGGACCCTCTGCGGCCTGCCCCTGCAACGGGCTGCGTGGGCGCTGGGCGGGCCTGGCGGGAGCGTCCGCATCGCCTACCCGCCTCCTTCTCGGCCTCGGACTCGGATGCTTCGTCTTCACCCTCCTCCTCGGAGCTGGAGCTGCTGGACTCCTTGCTTCCTTCCTCCGCTTCGTGGGACTTGGGGGTCTCCTCCTCATACAGCAGCTTCTCTTTGCTAAATAAAGGAGGCAGTCTGAGTGTCATTCAGAAACGATAAACCATTTCTTGAGCATGCAGACGGCGGGTGTCAGGGAACGAGGCCAGACACCTCCGAGTAGCAGCGGTGACAGAAGTGTGCTCAGCCTTCCTCTGCATCTGCGTCCCCCGAACCCCTGGTTTCCTGCCAACTACGGTTCAGCGTTTGGCTTTAGAGCGTGACTTTAGAGCTCTAGCCTGTTCAATACAGGAAAAGCAGGCTCTGAAATCTGTTGGTTACGGGGCAGGTAAATATAAGAGATCATTGGATGGCTGTTCACTGAGTGAAGCAGGCTGGCCCTGGGGTGGTGTCCCTGAGCCCACAGCACTTCCAGTTACAGAAGCAGCTGGGACTCAGGACCCCTGCGCCAGAGGAGAAGTAGTGCTGTGGTCCGATTTCATTCCCAAATGCCACACACGCTCGCCCACCTCAGCGTCCCCCTCTGCCCCCCAAACATTCCCGCACATTTAAAGACTGCTGGGCTAAACTCAGTTTCGTTGATGCATTAACCCTCACGCCATGTGTCACACACGCGCCCCCACAGCACAGCCCATCACAGTCCTCAGGCCCCAAGCGCCTTACTTCCTGAAGAGCCTGCCGGGCAGCCTGCTGTCCAGGTCTGACTCGATGAGCTTGTTCCGTGTCTCTTTTTCACTTCGAAGCTGGAAGGGGAGAAGAGGGAAGACGTGGACCACAGGTGAGACATCAGCAGAGACGAGAACTCGAAATGGTCCTGTCGCTCAGAAGGAGACAAGGCCACACCAGGGAGGGGACAACTCTGACGTGAACGAGCTACACTCATTTTCCAGGATGCAGGGAGCTGTTAGTTTGCTGCCGTGGCTTTTAACTTTCAGCTGCTTTCCTACGATGAGTAACCGTTCCCAACCACAGTTTCTGGGTACTTCCTCCTGACAGGCAGCTGGCAGCCCCTGGAGGGAGCAGCTGGCGCCTTCGGCACAGCAGACGCAGCCAGAGCAAGCAATGGAGGTGCCGCTGTGGACCGCGCTCCGTCCACACTCACCACGCTCTGCTTCTTCTGCAGCATCTCCAGGTGCTCCACGAGGCCCTCGTCGGCCACGTCAAACGGCGTCTGGCCCTGGCAGAGAAAAGGCACGTGACCATGAGCAGACAGGAGGAGGGAGCACGCGGCTCAGTCAGGCACTCCAGCATGTGCTACACCTCGGACCCCAGCCACTGCCGCTTCCCTGACCTGGGGACGCGGCCTTGTCATGATGGCATCACCTCTCCTAGGAGAATCAGCAAATCCTTACGGGGTCCCCACTCTGAACAGTACTGAGGAAATGGCCACCGCTCTAATGCTTACGGCCACCTGGCAGTTAATCACGTGACAGCTCTGCCGGTGCCTGTTCTGAAATGGTCTGAACTGCTGACAAACTCGAGGGGCTCTCAGAAGGCCCAGGAGATCCAGGGCACATGTGCACTAAAGGTCATGTCATGAAACCCTGTCCCTGGAAGTGAGACAAGGGCTGTCTCTTCCAGGAAACATCAGCGGTGAGAGGCCCGAACCCACAAGCCGAGTGCAACCCGGGCCAGGGAGGCACGGGAGGTGGACTCGGACATCCGCAGACGGACAGAGGAGTGCTGCGTCCAGTGAGCTCGAATAACACGATTTCAACCCAACTCCGGATTCTTGTCATTATGCTGCTCTTTTACTGACTGAATGGGAATAGAACTCAACTATTAAGTCTTTGAATTAAAAATAAAGTAAAATTAAATCTTTCATAGGCTTCCCCAGTGCTCACTTTTGCCGAGGGCAAGTCTCTTTTTTTCCTGTTTGTTTCAGGGGCTTCCACAAACAAGCCCAGTGGCAGTCAGACAGCTCTGTGAGGTCACGGTATGCTGGCAGAGCCACAGCTGCCCGTGCTGTGGTCCCACTGCCCTGGACAGGGAGCCGGGTCGCCTCACAGACGCTGAGCCTGCTGTCCTACAGCCCCGCCAGCAACGCCGAGGCCGGTGGGCAGGCTCACTCACCAGTTTGTTCCTGATGTCCATGTTGCAGAGCGCCTCGGCCAGGATGGAACAGGCCTCCTTCACCCCCCAGTGTGCGGCAGCGTGGAGGGGTGTCCAGCCGTCATGGTCCTGGATGTCCAGTTCATAGCCAGCCTGAATTAACAGTCTGAGGAGAAAACCCCAACAGGACATGTATGTCCTGGATAGCACAGCTCCCTGCCGAATGCACTGTCACCCACTGACCCACAGAGTACCGGAGGCACAGCTCAGCCCTCCTAGCGACTACGTGACAACCAATCATAGGTGACATCTACCCACCCTCTCCGAAAGGTCATGTGGGGTCCCCTCGGCACATCTGTGTCACACCATATGACAAGTGCCTGGGGAGGCGTGTCCCTTACATGACCTGAAGCCTAATTCAATCAGGCAAACCCTACGACTACGATGAGGTGTGCTCTCCGTTTCCAGTGTGTGTGTGTGTGTGTGTGTGTGGGCGGGGGCACCTCAAATCAGGATGGATGCTCTTCAAGGCGCTGTACTTGCTGGCTTTCTGCCGGTTGTCCAGGACACCCTGTGTTTACTGTAGACTCATAGCTCCAAGCCTGCAGGAGTGTCTCGGCTTCTCTTGCACCATACGGCTTCGGTCTAATGTGCCCGCGGGGCGCACTGTACAGCTTCGGTCTAATGTGCCTGCGGGGCGCACCGTACGGCTTAGGTCTAATGTGCCCACGGGGCGCACCGTACGGCTTCGATCTAATGTGTCCACGGGATGAAGGTGCCACTGCTGAGGCCCCAACCTGCACGGGGCTGATGCAGGTTACCTACATTAAGGGCCTCCAGACGCCTTCTGAGGACTGAACAAGCACGAATGCCACTTAGGTCACACCACACTGCCACGCCTGCTAGAAACCCCGTAATGGGTGGAATGTGAACCCTGGAAGAGCCTGTGGCAAGGCAGCCCGTGCATTTGGGAAAGTGTCAACATATCCACCAGGACCTGCGTGAGGCACGTGTGGACCTGAAGGAAAATGAGTGGGGAGCAGAGCAGCACCCCTCATGTCAGTGTGGCCATCCTGCCTTTGTGGACACACACACTCCAGGTCTGTGTCGTTAATCTGATGAGCCCAGAGGACCAAACCACACTGCACTGCATGTCACTAGAGGAGGAGGCTGTAGGGTGCTGACGCTAAGCCCTGGGCTGGGACCTTCAGGGCCCACCTACCTCACCCCTTTCACGGCGCGTGTCAGTGAGAAGCTAGGGCGGCAGGAGGGGCCCATCCGCGGACGACCACCAGCCCACATAGGTAGGGCTGGTGGTCAGACAGGAGAGAGCACAGACAAGCACTGTGGCGGACCCTCATTCACCCCTCCTTCCACAGCCCATTCTCTCCTGTCCCGTCCCCGACTACGGTCCATGGAGATGACATACCTGAGGACCTCGGAGTAGCCCTTGGCAGCAGCCACGTGCAGCGCAGTGGCCCCCGAGCGGGCCTGCCTCATGTCCTCTATCTTCCCACTGTTGAGCCACTGCCGGGCGTCCTGCAGCATACGCTGCTCTTCTCCCCTCCTCGCCTGGTCCAGGTCAAGCCCTGCAGGAGAAGCACACGGCGGGGCTGTTGGTCTGACGGACTCAGGTCCCAAACACACCACAGACCACCACAGACAATGTGCAGTCAGCAGCTGCGTTCTCCAAGTCCTCCTAGGCGAGTGACAGCGCCCAGCCAGAGCCTCAGGGACTTCACAGGTGGCACATCCCTCAGGGAATATACCTGAAACTGCTTCCAGCTTAAGAACATAAAGCCCACGTTTGTAGAAAGCTATACATTTCAAAGTCCTCTTCCATGTTACACCGTGTTAGTGTCTTGGCAATCCTCTCAGGTAAGTCTATTTATCCCCACTTCACAGGAAACACCCACAGAAAGATCAGGTGTCTTGCTCCAGGCACAGAGCACGTTAGGCTGTCACTGGGACTGGGACATCCCAGGACTGGCTAAGAAACCAAGCTCATCCTTTAGTCCAGCAGGGCACAAAGCTGCTCGGGGACACGGAAGGCAGGAGAAGTGACCGTTTACCGCCCGGGAGCAGCACGGGCTTACGGCAGAGTCAGCATGTTTCCTAGAAGTGCAGATGTGAAATATTTTCAGCTTTGCGGGCCACTCGGTCTGTCACAAGGACTCCACTTGGCTGGTGGAGCGCAAAGGCAGCTCTGGAGTCTGGAGACAGACGGACGCGGCCAGAGCTGGCCTCTCGGAAACGACCACAGCAGGAGAGGCCCCTGCGCTACGGCCCTGAGCATGAAGTACAGGTCGTGGGTACGGCAGTGCAATAGAAAGACTAGTGGTCACTACCCATCACGTGCGTGACGTCGGTGACGGTCCCAGCAAACTTCTGAGAGCCGTGCTCCTGGCTATCTGACTAGTTATTTGCCACCTTTCTTTATCAAAAGGCCCTGATCCAGGACCTCCAGGAGTGTCCTGACCTAGTCTTTGAAATGGTGTCTTCTGAAAGTAAAGAATCAGAGTAAGTATTTTTCGAGTTTATTCTCCTAAGTCAGCTTGCTCACCCTGACAAGCCGCCAGAACGGTTTCCGGGTTAGTGTGGCTAAGGGTCATTTAGGGGCACACAAAGCACCTTCCACACCCCCAGCGCTCGAGGCTCACACACAGGACCTTCCACACCCCCAGCGCTCGAGGCTCACACACAGGACCTGAGACTCACAGCCCTTCCTTGGGCTCTACAGTGTGAGCAGGCTCAGAACCAGGCACAGTGAGAGCTGTGCCCGCCCACTTGGCCTGTCTGCGTCCTCAGACGAGGCCAGGTCACTGCTCATTCTGCAGTGGGTGAGTGGCGTCAGGGAGCAGATGGGGGCCCGCCCTCTGTGGCCTGTGAGTTGCTAGGGGGCTAGTGCTGTGCACACAGGGTGGCCCTGTCCTGTCCCATGACGGCGGGTGGCTCTCTGGAGGTGGCATGTCTGCGGCTCCCGGCGCCTGGGGGGTTACCTTGCTTCTTGACCTGCTCCAGAAGCAGGTCCTTCATGGCAGGCTCTTCCGCAAGGTCGGAGGGCACTTCCCCTTCACAGTTCACGACGGCCACACTGGCGCCATGGTTAAGGAAGTACCTGTGGGGACAACACCAGGGTCAGCAGCACCCCTGCCAGGCTGGCACCTGTGCAGACGCACGCACCTGAGGCTCGAGGCCCAGCATGACCTCTGCTTCGGGGGTTTGAGTGAGGTCCCAGGTAAGGCATCCACTGCTGCTTCCCAACTCCACTAGCCTTCCCTGGTTCAGACCGGCAGTGTCTGTTTCCTGACAAGAGCTACGCCAACAAATGGGTTTCTTCCCCACTCACATCCCTAACCCCACCCTCTCACCCCCAATGGACAGCAAGAGACTGTCTAAATACCATGAGGAAGACACGGGGCCCCAAAACTCCCCTCTCCTCCCTAAGGTCCAAACACAGGTTCCCAAAAGGACTTCTACACTGGTAATACTGACAATGAGTCCCCAGGAGATTTGTAAAGAGCTCACTCTCATGAAAATGTCCCCAATGCCACAGGCGAGTACAGTTAAGTAATGTCGGGAGTAAAAATTGGAAAGTAAAGGAGAGCTAAACGGTGTCTCCAGGAAACCCCTCCGACCAGCACCTCCATGAAACCTCATGCTGAGAGGGAACTGAGTTACTAAACAAGTAAATAGCTACATTCTAAATACTGAGATTCTAGATCAAAATGCAACAACTGACCCTGAATCAGGCAGGTCTGACAATTTTAATACCTTACATGGACCCTTTTTGACTTTCAAAGTACTTTCACATAAAACTGCATAGTGAGTCTCAGCGGTTTTACGAAATAGGCCATGTGGGTGGTATTGCCCCACTTTAAGAAACAGGCTCATACATAGTAATTTCCTTAAAATCACAGAGGTGGCAAGTGGCAGAGGCTACAGCCCCAGTCTTCTGATTTCAAGTCTAGTTCATCTTTTCCCGAGATCAAGTTACTTTTAGGCCAGTGAGAAGCCTGATAACGCTGGGAGCTCTAGCAAATACTCAGAAGCATTAAAGGAGAAAAACCAGTTAAATTAGACTTCGACCATTCAGCAATTCAGTAAACACTCATTGTTCCCCTACTATGTTTAAGGTACCACGTTTTAGACACTGTAGGCAATTTAAAAAAGATGACTGACCTATGACCACTGCATTCAAAGGGCTGGCAGAGAAGGCAGAATCGACAAAGATTAGACCGAGGCTGTGTTTTGCTTTCTGAGCGCCTCGTGGCTGGCGTAACAGAGCCTCGATCAGTGCTTTTTCACTTTACACACCACTCCCACATAGACAGACCTGGTTCCCTCTCATCTGCAGTTTCCCAGCCCTCCCTCGCTGGCTCAGAGACGACTGCGCCCCCTATCTGCAGTCCCGTCCCCATCAATTACCCTTCCACCCCCACACATGCAGGAGCACCTCTGTTCTGGTTCCTCCTTCAGGCCACAGGAACATCCAACTACACCATCCCACCTTGAGAACTCCAAATGCAACTAACACACACAGTAGGCCCTCAATCACGCTGCCGGGCTGAGCCGCACCCCTAGTGCCCCCCCCACCCCGCGCGCCCACACTCACTCAGTTCAGCAGCCTCCCTCATCGGACAGAGCACCCACGCCTCCTCCCTTCCTGTTTCGAGGCCCACTTAAAACACCTTTGCCTCTGGAACCTTCGCCTGCTCTCGCCAGCAACCTCCCTCTTGCCCTGGTCCCACCTCTGCCCACCTTCGCCAGCAGTGATTCTGGTCTGTCGTGACACACGCCATGTCCCATCGGTCAGGCTGAAAGCCACTTGGGGACAGCCACTAACTACGTGTTCCTCACCGCCATCACTGCTGTGACATCTGACACCTTCTCTTTTCTCGAGGCACTCCACAAACGTTGCTGAAATAAAGGAAGCATCCTGCCCGCTCCATTCCAGCGCTTACCAGGTTGGACACAATGTCACTTGGGTAGACGGACCCTGCTTTGCCTTTTGACATGTTCTCAGGCTCCTCATCAGGAAGACACGTCTATAAAGACACCCGGCTCACCATGAGTCAGAAAGAGATCACTGCCGAGTAAAGCTACCTTCCTAAACCACTTTTAGAAAAAAAAGCACAAAGCTCTTTAGCTTCACACTTTTCCCTGAACAAGAATAAATATCAACCTATGAAATAATATTTACTTTACCTCTGAGAATCTTTATAGTTACCCAGAGGCTCAGAAATATCCACTAGCGCAAAATATACCCGTCCCTTAGAAAATAAAGCCTTCCTCTCCCCTAACTCATCTCTGAGAGACGGTCTTTTTGCTACCATTCCAAAGGAAATACTTTGCAAGAAAATAAAATGCATTAAAAACTCAGAATAAATTACACCCAATAAAGTACAAAGCCAAACCAAATGCTGAACCCTTGGGTCAACCTGCTGCTTCTCCATTACACACTTATTGGTAATAAAAATGTAAAACATCCAGCTAACTAGCAAGGAGCCTGAACTCAAATTAAAATGAGGAAAAAACACCCTCCAACCCTTTTTAGAAAATATCTCATGCTGAGTTCCAACATGACACGAAAGAGGTCACCATGGAACATGAAATACTTAAGATTCCTCCTGAAAAACAGGTTGGCCTTTTGCTCATTTCTAGTCCCTTGAAACTTAGAATTCCTAATGATTCTGAGAATAAGAGTGTAAACTTTAAGATCTTTAAGATACAAAATAAAAAATGACAAAATGTCCAAGGGCTAATCTCATCTAAAACACTGTGCACATTCCCTGAGATGAAGAAACCCAATGAATAATGCAAGCAATGGGTTATTTTCCACTGTCTAGGAAGCAGTGCTATAACCCAAAGTAAATAATGACAGTAACGTGAAAACCCGTCTGATAACTATAAGCACAATGGAAGATAAATTAAAGAAGCCCCCACCGCCACCCACCCCACGCGATGGCTCCGGTCTAGCTGACCTCTCCCGGACAGACGTTTGTATGTCTAATTAGTAATACAGTAATACCTTGGTTTGCGAGCATAATTCGTTCCGGAAACAAACTACTTGTATTGTAAGACATCACTCGTTTACCACGTAAAAATGTACTAGAAATGTTTGCTCTTCTTGCGGAACACTCACAAACCACATTACTCGCAATCCAAGGTTTTACTGTACTTTGTAGAGGAAACAGTGGCTCTGACCGATTCGTTTCACTCAAGGTAATATTTATGTTGGCAAGAGACAGTTACATTCTGGACTTATGTCCAAAGGAACTGTTCACCCATGAAGATGAATGGGAACCACTGTACAAAGCATTTACAATCGTTCTCTGCGCACTGCGCCTAAGGAGAAAAAGCGACTCCATGAGGAAGGCCAGCACAAGCGATCCGATTCTAAGCATGAGTCCCACCTGTCAGCTTCTGAGGCAAAAACAGCGAAGCCCTTGGATGCAGTGAGATGTGGCAGTTCGAAAGCCACACATAAGCCACCTGCACAAGTAATCAGATGTCAGTACCGAGGAGCTAACGTGTCTGTAAATGTTTCTTAGATAAATTTTACAGTGAAAATCGAAATATGAAAACGCCCCCCACCCTTAGGCATCAGAGGCTGCATTAGTGGCCAGGCTGAGATGCTCTGACTCAGAGAGGGCGGCCTGGGGACTGAGGGGTGACAGGCTTCCACTCAGACGGAACAGAGCGAAGCCCGAGACGGAGGGAGAAGGTGCTGTCCGTTCTGCTGGGTTGGGGGCGGGTCCGGTGCACTTTCTCAGACAGGCAGCCGGTGGAGAGCAGCGCCTCAGTCAGGGCCCCCTGGCCAACCCCCTCCATCGGCATCGCCCACCAGGCACCCGGCTCAGCCCCCAGGAGCCCAGGCAGGCCCCGAGTTCTGTGGGGAGCCATCCCTGGGCCTCGCATAGCTGCCAATGTAACCCCCTGCTGTTTGCCCGGTAAGAGAAAAGGAATGGAGCTCTAATCACACTGGAAAGTCCCCAGGGCAGCAGTCTGATTTTCAAAGGACCACAGGATGCTTTACTGGGGGAACTCAGCTTATCCTCCTAAATGACTCTCCTCTAGAACACACTGGGGAGTTTCGACGGCCGAAGCCACCTCCCTGACCTCCCCTTCGGCAGACGCTGAGAACACAGTATCAATTATTCCTTAGAAATAAGTCAACGTCTTCCTTTTGTAATTTGTAATAAAGAGAGATTTAACTGTTTATGAAACTCAAATTGTCGGAGCAGAAGAGAAATGAGGGCTGTTCCTGCAAAGCACCCAAACCCACCAGACTCACTCTGCAATGTTGAGGTAGCCGCAGGAGGCCGCCGCGTGGAGGGGCGTCCAGCCCTCGTTGTCCTGCCGGTTCACATCGGCTCTGTTCTCCACCAGAAACTTCACCATGTCAAAATTTTCATCAATACAGGCCTGTAAAGAAAAGTCCATCCGTTCACTCAGCAAGTCTCACTGAGTGCTGCCACGTGCCACACTGCTCCAGGCACTGACAAGGCAGACGTTCCAATGACATGCTGGTGTCCAATGGTCGCATACAAGTGTCCAGAGCGTGACTTCTGAGTACTGCGAGCTGATGCGAACCCCTGAATCGCCTCCAGCCTCAGCATCTCAGCTGTGAAGCCGGCACAACAACACTTAATCTTATTCACAGTACTGCTAGGATTAATTGTGAAATTGGCTTCTGAAGTGCTAGAAATGGGTGAGCTGCTTCATCATCATAAAAAAGGGGACGTTATAACCACAAATTTGCTTCTGAATTTCAGAAGGAAATAGACCACAGGACCAAACGCAGGTTCCCAGTGGGATTCCAGAGTGGGGATTCCTCCAAACAGCCCTCCTTTGGTGAGGAAGCACCAGGGGGTCATTCAAACAGAAGCAAAGTGTTTTTCACATGTATTTTCTGAATGGCTTCAAACAACATGGCAAAGTTGTCTGACTTGTGGACGTGAGGGCCCCTCAGCTGCCTATCTCACAGCAACACGGAGGACGCCAGAGGCCTCAGGCCACCACGGCCTGGAAGAAACAGGCAGCAGTGACATCTGCAAAGACCGCAAGGCTGTCCTAACAGCTGCAGGAGAACGGAGGGGAAGCAGGCGCGATGCAGGTGGCCATTAGCAAGGCTTAGGTGGCTCGCAAACAGCTGGGACAAAGTCAGGATCTAGAAACAAAGGAGGTGCCTTCCTTTGAAAATGTGTAATTTGTCTCCTCCTTAAGAAAAAAAAAAGTTAAAACCTGAGCCAGAAAAAATGATTTCTGTGAGAATATGAAGACAGTTGGACTGTTCACTGTGCTGACAGCTACACGAAGCGCTGGTGGTGCTGGGCACGAATCATAGTGGCCCCAAAGGCACCAGCGCTCACGGCAGTGCCCCCTCGTGCGCTCCAGCTAAAAAGCCAGTGCCACGTGAGGACGGCCTTGGTGGAACAGTAAAAATCATGAATCCTGTGGAATCCGATCTGTGGTTCGAAGGGCGCACGCAGCACCTTGGCTGCCCAGCGAAGCAAGCTGCTGTCGCTGAGAGAAGCCCCTGTGCCTGGGAGGTGGGCTGCCTTCTTTCATGCACGCTGCTTTTACTCAAAAGAACAACTGACAGGTAAATTACCATTATGAAGACGTGAATCAGACAAAGTGAGCCTGTCACTTCAAAGAAAAGAACTAGGATTTTTTGTCAAGGAGGAAATCTGACCGTTCACATGAAATGTGAATCCCAGGAAACACACCCACTTCTATGAGCGCGACAGTGTCCCAACTCACTTTTCTGACGAGACCAGTGGGATGTCACCCAAGTGTCACTTGCAGACATTGTACAGTGAAATGCATCAACATCTGGAACACCTGCACAAGTCAGTGAGCCTGTATTTTCCAAATAATGAAGTGCAGGCTGTCAGAAAACCACACACGGTTAAGGAATCATTCAAAGGACGAGTCAGACCACTGGCTTTTAATGTCACAGAGGAGAAGAGCCCACCGACACGGCTTCACATCCCACACGGCACCCAACAGTTAAGAAGCCCTTTCCCATGTGTGTGTCTAAGTGAGGCCAGAGCTCCTTCACGCACTTCTAGCAAAACAACGCATCACAACAGGTTGAACCCAGACATTAAAAAGATTTCTTAAAACGTAAAACAATGCCACTCTTCTCACTGTTTCTTTGTTTCTGTTAGAATACAGTTATTTCAATTAAATATGTGCTTTACATGAGCAGGTAATGGGTTACTGCTATTTTAAATGAATTTGTAAGTACGTATTTTTTAATTTCTCAGTAACATAGAATAACCCATATGGACGTCTCTCTGAGGTCCTGAACACATTGTTAGAGGGTACAGGAATCCCGAGATCACACAGTTTGCGAACCACTGTCAATCAAACATATGAAGGGGTATTTTATGGTGATAATGACCGACTGTTTCAACAGCACACAGTTACTGTGGAAAGATTCAAGTTAGAACTCTGCGGGCCTGTGTATCTGGGCCTTAAGTGGTGCAGATCTTACCAGAACCTACAGGGACTACCTTCAGAGACACGCGTCTGTCAGTCCTGCCTAGAAGCAGAGGGATGAATTAAAAAAGGTTGATTCGATTTAGATGAAAATTTGAGCAGGTATCACTGGTTACAAAAACTATCTGTGCTAATTCTTCCCAACCATTTGATATTCTTTTACAATTCCTGAGATTCGCTAAATGTATCAGAACAGGCCTGATCTGATGCGATACGCATATTTGTCCCACCTGACCTTGGGACCCGTTGTCATCATGGACCCTTTCCAACAGGCAGCTCCCCAAACTGCAGGTCTTGTACGCTCTTTTCTCAGGTTTATCAACCTCTACCAGCATTTCCCACTTACTCTCTACTCCTTTACCATGGAAAGCATTTCATAACTATGCTTCTCACTGAATTTCATGAGCCACACGTCTGCCGAAGGGTGAGATATAGCCAATTCACTGCAGAGTACCTGGCTAAGCACCATCACTGCAGGCTTTCAGGTGAAAGGATGTCGGGGTACTTCCAAACGGTGCTGAAGTGAAGGTGAAGAAAGCATTTCGGAGGTTAGGTGCATGCCCTGCCCAGGTAATAAGCGCCTGTGTCAAGGTGGTCAAATGAGTCGTCTTTTGCTGTGTTGAGAAGCTGGGCCAAATGCTCTTTGCCTGGTTGCAAAATTTCTTTGGCTCTGAAAAGGCAGTCTCAAAAATTAGCTGCAATGGCCACACCACCGCCAGGTGGACTTTTGGAAGCCAGTATCTTCAAGATCATTCTTTGCCCTTTGAAGCTGACAGCAGCCAAATTCCAGAGGGCCTACACTACGTCCCACGAGGCCAGGTACCGAAAGGAAGGAAACTTCTCTTTCCTCCTCATTCTCTCCCTTTCTTTCCTTAATCTCCATTACCCCATCACAACTTGAGTTCTCTTCCTTCTCGCTTTCATGACATTTTTGTCTGTGAACACCAAATCCTTGACACAGTATTTTTATAAGAATGACACTGTGATGCGTTTCAGAGAAGGACCATGACAAGCTGGCTCGATCTTTCAGATGGTCAGTCTCCAAAGAACCGACTCAGAAAACAGGGCTGGCCGACTGTTAAATGGTCCCACATCCACTCCGAGGCGGAGGGCAGGCAGGCCCCCTGGGTCTGCATCCCAGCTCTGCCAGCGGACACTCCCGAGTGAGCTGGAAGCCTGAGGACCACGGCCTTGGCTACAGCAAGGGGACTTCATGACTGAAGGGGATGTGTCGTGCGGTAGTGACTGGCACTGCTGTGGTCTTTAAGCCAACAGTTTAACAAATAGCCACTCCCCCGGAAAAAGCACAAACTGTACCTACTCCTCACCCATCACGAACTGCTCCCCCCCCCCCAGCATCTTATGGTGGGGGGAGGCAGTTGGTTAAAGACATCTTGGAACTAGCGAGATTTTGGAGCATGTTTGTTAAGTCTGACTTCAGGAAACTCCCTGTGGGTTCCTGAGCTCAGGAGCTGTGTGAATAAAATAGCGTGGTCACGGCTAAGCTGGGAGAGAGCCGTCCTCAGAGAGACCCCGCAGCAGAGCTGTAGGACACACTCTCACAGACTCTCCTGGAGGGACGGGTCTCCGTTCTTGTCTCCTTTTTGCATCCAGAGAAGGAATCTGACTAAAGCCACGGAGGAGAGATGGACAGTCCCTGGGGACCTTCTCAAGTGAGTGGCGACTAAATTTAGATGTCCTCCTGCTCACGCCTGTGCTGTGGACGCACCATCCAGAAACCGCGTCCAGGGCCGCGGACCCAACGCCAGGCTTCCACGAAGACCACACTGACTTTTCAGGCCCTGAACAGGCAAAGGGGGCTAAACGTTTCTGACGGTGCCCAGGACACCAGCATGACTGTCCTCCACGCAACCTGGCCCTGTGGCTCATGTCCATTGTGTCCCATCCTGCATCCCTGAAGACATACTGAATGGTACTAAAGGAACAACCTGTTCTAAGCTCCTTAAGACAAGGGGACAGCACTTCATTTTTGTTTAATTAATGATTAGTCCAGAGAGCCATTAGAAACATTGCCGGGTAGATAATTTGAGGCTTCCTGAAATGAGCGTGTCACCTTTCCCTAGCAACGACAGGCGATCTCCAAGGAAAACGCTGGATTTTACCAATGCCGCGGGGAAAGGGCACGAAGGGATAGTTGGCTACTGTACCTGACGCTGCTCGTTCTATAGCAAACGCACAAGTGGCTGATGCGTGATGCGTGCCAGAGTTAAATCTGGGACTGCAGAGTAGGCCTTACAAAACAAAACTGCCTCCGTTCCCAAAATAGCCCGCAACTGTCACCGCCACCAAGTGCCGCTGGCTCCGGGAGCTGACCTTGCTGTCAGGTTTCAGAATCCTGCTACCGCTACCTGCCTTGGCCCCAGAGCAACGCTCTTCCCCCAAAGCCCAGCTCCGGGTGCCAGGGCCGGTGACACCCCTATTCGTTTGGATGTTGCTTTGATTTCAACAGACCGTGCCGACACAAGTGCTGGGTGATGAGGACGCCTGGGATGTATCCTCTTTCCGTACCGTCCACTATTTTGCCCTGTATCCTCCCCAAATTTATATAATTCAATAATAACCTACACAAAACTTATAACCCAAATTTGTATAATCCCCTAAATTATATAATATCATATAAAATATGTTGAAAACCCTAAATGTTTGGAGGTAATAATAGCAAAGAGCATAATTTCTTTCCCGCAGACATTTATCAGCCAAACACCACACCCCTGAAGATCTATGAATTTGCTGGCTCACTGCCATCTGTCCCCTGGTGCAGCCCGAAAACCAAGTACAGCACTTGGCACAAACATTTGCTAATGAAATAATGGGTGCCCCAAAGCGCAGAAATCACATCTTCTGTACATTCAGGTTGATTCACAGTTATCTACCATAGATTCGCCCAGACTTCT